CCCTCCCCGGCGGCTCCGCCCCTCCCCGGCGGCTCCGCCCCTCCCCGGCGGCTCCGCCCCTCCCCGGCGGCTCCGCCCCTCCCCGGCGGCTCCGCCCCTCCCCGGCGGCTCCGCGCTTTGGCCCTCGCGGGCCGCCGTGGAGCTGTGTAACGGTTCCGCGTAGCGGCCTTGGCGCCTAGTGCGGCGGCCGGGACCGGGGCCGGGTCGCTCCCCAGCGGTGCCCGCTGCGCAGCCATGACGGATGCGGGCGGCAGCGGCGACTTCTCCCCGCACAGCTCGGGCTCGGACTGCAGCCGCCTCTCGCTGCCCTCCACGTCCCGCAACGGCGCCCTGCCGGAGCGGCGGCAGCAGCGGCTCTCGGGCCTGGGCCGCCCGCGCCCGTCGCTCGCCGCGTCCTCCTCCTCCTCCTGCTCCGATGAGGAGGAAGAGGAGCCGGAGCCGGAGGCGGCGGCGGGGAGGCCCGCGCGGCCGGAGAGCGCCGAGGCCGCCGGCGACGAGCGCAGCAGGCGGGTGATCCGCAACCAGTACCGGGAGCTCATCTACAGCGTGCAGCGTAAGCCCCGCGCCCGTGGATCCGCCCTGAGGAGAACACGAGGCCCGCGGGCGGCCCCGAGCTCTCCGGGATCCTTTTCYGGGCGCTCGCAGTGCTCGGGCCGCGAGGTCCCGGCCTCGAGGGGGGCTGSGAGCTCTTCCCCCCCAGACGTGGGGATGCGGGTGGATCGGGCGCTCCCGGAGGGATTCACCCGTGGGTGCCGCGTGTTGGTGCGGGGTGTGCGTGTTCCCGCAGCTGCCAGGCTGGYGTTTGCCCCGCTCGAGAACGAGCCCTGCTGCGAAAGGGCAAACTCCAGGACCGGGGAGTTACCCGTAGCCTTTCTGGAAAGCGACTGTGCAACAGCTTTTTGTGCAGAGCGCTGGTTTTGGTGGGATTTTACTTGTTTAAACTTGCGGTATTTTCACAGAGTGATGTCACTCATTAGAGCAATCACTATCAGCCCCGCTCCTCAGCGGCTCCTGGTGCTTCTTGTCTTCTCTGTGCTTACCAAAGTGGCCCTTCATTTTCATTTTTGCATTGCCTTTAAGAGATTGCAGCACAGTTTATGGATGATTTAGCTCCTGTTCGTGCAATTTAAGACACACCTATGCTTTGAGGTTGCACGCTTGAGGTGGCRCATAGCTGTTCACAGTTGGACATYTGAAAGTCTTCAAATCATAAATGCRCTGGTGGATATAAGTAACCCTTCGGCATTAGGATCATCAAAAATAATCAAGCATTTGTTTTTCCTGGTAATCYGTAATAGATTAAATGAGACAAGTGGCATGAGTAAACTACAGGCTCTGGTAACTGCGTTGATACACGTGCAGAATAAGTAGAACCTTGATGAAGCTGGTATTACTAAGCTCGGCAGTTTGGGGTGAAATRTATTTTGGAGCAGTGATGTTGGATGTGCATAGTTCACACAAGTGCAGTAGGGGATATGGGTTTATGTTAATTTTCATTATGTGAATCTGCTGCTGAGCATGTGTGAGCATCGAAAAGAATCRGGCCTGTGTGTTCTCACAATTAAAGTATTGTAGAGTCTTGCACGTTTTGAATAAATTGAGGTATGAAACAGGCAGTTCAGCTTAAGGTACAAGTGTATTTTTTATGTCTTTATGTAATTTGGAGTTTTATTTATAGTTTTTGTTTCTCTCTAATTCTCTCTGTTCTTTCTTCCTTCCTCTCCCTCCCTTCCCCATGCAGAAAATCGTGAGGACATGCTGAGTTCAAAAAGCAATAAGCTGACAGAGGCTTTGGAAGAAGCCAATAAACTGTTCAGTGGAGGTAAAAAGAAATTCTGCAGTACTTGTTAGAGATGGTTGCTTAGTAGTTGACCAAGTATGGAGAGATGACGCCTTAACAAGCAACCAAAACCCAGTATGAGATTCAGTTTAAATCCAGCTTCTTTATCAAAATTACAAAAGAATAGCTTGAAATAAATAACTTCAGCTGAAGAGGACTTGCTTGATTAAAGCGTTATCAAAATATTAATATTRCTAGTGTTTATTTGTACTTCGATACCTTTTTTGCCTTATTTTTAAGGCAAATATATCCAATATACATAAATAGTACACAAATCAGGTTCACTTAGAGAAGAAAAGCATGTTAATGAAAAATGCATTTTCTTCTTCAAAACTGTGTGTTAGATCTTCAGGCTGGCTGCATCATCGTCTCCTTTCTTTTGGTGGAAATAGCAAGCATTATTTATTATATTGGGAACCTTTACAAAGCTCTAAACTCGGGATATTCATTATAGTAAATTTTGACATTTACGTATTACTAATACATGGTCTATTTTTTTTCTTCTGTAACAGTGTCCTGTGCTCGGGAGGCAGCATTGGATGCCCAGTTTCTTGTCCTCGCATCAAATCTAGGAAAGGAGAAAGCCAATGAATTGCACTCRGAGATGACAGCATTTGACTCGCTAGCATTTGCTGAAGACTTGGTAAGTTCCAAACTCAAAATTTGCCAAGAGTTTTGCTAGAAGCTTGGGCTTTTTGTGTTTTTTTTTTTTTTTTTTCTGTTTTCAGTGCAGTTTTGGGAAAATTGAGGTTCTCTTGTTATTCAGTGGTATTAAACGTTAATCTAGCAGAAGACCGTAACACAGAATTTCACGGTTAATGCATCTACTGATCTTTCATTAAGTAAATTTCGTTTGCCTCTTTTTTTTTTTTCTTTTATAGCTAACGTTCATGGGTCTAAATCGCATAGAAGTAGAAGAGAAGGATAGTGATAATGAGGGCTTTCCTGGTGGTTATTTACCTAGCAATGCCTGGCATAAACTGGGAGCAGAAACAGAGAAGTATTTCAGAAGAGCACCTTCTTTTCACTACATGTAAGTGTATTTAAGGAAAATTGTATGCTAATGCCATTAAATGACATGAATTCTGAAAAAGGAATTTTGTACTGATCTTTAGTGCCCTAGGCTTGACTGAAAAGTTCAGTTTTAGGTTGCCAAGTGCCAACAAGGACTTCTGCATACTGCATGTTCTGACAGGGAACACCTCATCTCCTGAATATCTCATAGTATCTTATAGTATGTTTCTCTCTGACCCTGACTTGGCTTGGATAAAAAATACTGCCTTGTCTGTGTTTTTGGGATAGCATAATCTTGATTTACCTCTTTTAGGCCTAAATCAGTAGACTTTAATCATCTCCTTTCCAGACTGACTCATCACTTTCCTTTCTCTCCCTGTTGAAGCTGCACCTAAAAGCATTATGAGAGGATCATTCATTTCTCTAGGTAGCATTTTATTAGACCCTAAAAGACTAAAATCAAGCATCTTTCACCTGCTGATTGTATCATAAGGCTTTTTCAAAACAGAGGCCRACAGCCCTTTTCATACATCTGTGYTAATGAGCTTTCTTTTCAGCTCTGCCCTTGAAAGAAAATACCTGATTAATGGCAGGTGTTTTGGTGTGGAATTAATGTCTTCTCTCTTTTTAGGTGTAAGCAACCCTTTTAAACCCTCTTAGCTGCTATAAAGTGACCCTCGATCAGGCATAGAGACTGTCCTCCAGTTTAAATCTCAGCCCAAAACAGCAGCACTTTAATGACATCAAATTATGGTCATAGAGCTATTAAAATATTTCAAATCTGCGCTTGTGCATTCGAGGCTAAAACTAAATGCTAAATATAATATTGTTCTAATGAAGTAATAACTGCAAAAGAGACTTTKGGGGATTTGTTACTAATTGTCCTCTGTGTAGCTGAGTTTTAAGATCTTAAGTAATTGTAGACTTCTTGTGATGGAAGATATGAATATTAGAAAAGGAATAATATAATGAAGTGATTTAAATAAAAGTAGAGACCTTCTAGGAGGACAAGACCTACTTAAGGTCCTATTCCATCTATTATTATTTGAGGTACAAATTCTTTTTCCATGGCTAGTTGCTTAATTTTTGAAATTGATCAGTGGAAAATTACTGACTATAAGGGRAGTATATGCTACTAAATTTCTGGATAGTGATTAACTGATTCTWAATTCACAGTCTCTTCTTTAGGCATTTAAATTGGAGATTTAAGGCAGCCAGAGTTTGAGCCTAAGTTTCTGAGATAGTCAATGGAAGGTACTTCACCAAAGTGTCTAAAGCTAGTGAATATATTTTCATTATTTATTGAGAAACTTTGAATCTCTTTTCAATGTACTGAATGTCCTATTGATTAAACRGTGTTTTTTGAAGACATTTCTTACTGCAAACCTGCACGTATGGGCACTGAAGAGTAAATGACAGAGATGACTGTTTTTTAGAGGCAATTTGCATACAGAGAAGTCTGCAGTAAATAAATTGTAGTTATTATTTTGCACTTTTATCAGGAAATCAACTGCTCAGTATCCATTTGTTAATAAACACTGAGGGGAAAAAAATCCTTCAGTATATTCTTTTGTTTGCTTTAGGTTAGGATCTTTCAAGTCTGAGCCTCCAGTACCAAGGCAACGGATTGAGAGGCAGAAAAAGGCTACGAGAAGAGAAGAAAAAAGGGCAATGCCTGCTCAGGTTTGTGAAGTGCTGTGAAATTGTGACTAATAGTGATTAGCGACACAATTCCTCAGCTTTAGGGGAATGTAGACGAAAAGGACAGTAAATAGATTTCAGACCTGTAAAGAGCAATGCTTTCAGCTTGTCATTGAGCCATGGGAATGTGTTCCTAAAACATTTGGCGTGTTGTCTTATTTTGGCGTAAGTGTCTGTAACTGTGTTAATGTGGCATCATTTATATAACGTGTTTATGGAGGGTCTTTTGGCACTTACCACTGTGAGATTATCTTTTTTTTTAACAATTAAGATTTTTTTATCTTTGCTTACATTCAAAGTTTCTGGAAGAATATTTTTTAAAACTTGGAACAAGTTTGTCTTGGAACAATAGGTRTGTACTTTGGAAATGTAGTCCTTGATACAGTAACTTTTTTTTTTTCCAGTTAAAAAAGATGGAGGAGTCTCATCAGGAAGCTACAGAAAAAGAAGTGGAGAGAATCTTGGGATTACTGCAGACTCATTTTAAAAATGATCGTAAGTATGTCTTCAGTTTAGCTCTTAAAGCATTAATTTGAGAAAATGAATACTGACTACCATAAGGATGTCAGCTCCATGTGTCTTTATGAMCACTAAATACCCATTGCGGGGTTGGAAATCCAAAGTCAAAGGTCTCCCCACTTACTGGAACATACTTTTTGAAAAGGAAATTGAATAGTGACTCAGTTTCATACTTTATTATATTGTGTGTGTATGTGTATTTCTTTATATATAGTGTCAACTCCTTTATTTCCCTTCCTATATTTAGAGTATCAGGGGAGACAAAATGTGGGGGGAAGAAGAGAGTTTATCTTGGAACTTGAACACTGCATGTAATTGGCAACTCAGTATTTTAATTTGACTTAAATGTTTAGTTAGCATCTGAAATGGGTACAGAATTTCTTATATTTTTATTTACMTGTGTTAGCTTCATGTGCAACACCTGCTTTAACAACTAATACATTTTTGCATCTCTAGCTGATATGCCCATTTCCTTCTTTGACCTTGTGATTGATCCCAACTCTTTTGCACGCACTGTGGAAAACATTTTTCATGTGTCCTTCATTGTAAGGGTAAGACACGATATGTTCTTGAAATCTTATTTTAGATACTGAAATTAGTGAGAAACTTTGATTTGTAGTTTTGATGTGTGTCCTATTTAAAAATTAAGATCCAAGTATAACGATGCCTGATTTGTTTTTGCACAGACTGTGGTGTTTGTTAATTACATTGAATAAAACCAGAATTGACAGGTGAATTTTTCTGCTGGATTTTTYTGTTAACCCAGTGAATTTATCAACAAAGCAATTGTGAAATTTTAGCTGTCAATACGTTCACGTTTTGAAAAGTTCTCTGTATTAGGATATTTATAGAGGTGCGTGTCACCTTTAAATACTTTCATTATTCAATTAAAAATATCTCTGAAGTTAAACTGAAGTTAAATCTTGAGGACTTTGAAGTTCTTGGATTCTGTGCTCCATATAAAATTGCACAGAAGATTATTTTGTAMTGTTTTGTGTTTTTTGGAAACTGCAGATTGTGTTTCAAACTATAATAAAATGTAAATGCACTTGCTGAACTGGGGAAAAGAGCAAAATCTACGAGTATGTCTTCACTAAATGTTGTGGGTTATTAATATATATATATATATTATATATATATATATAATATATATATAGCTGTTAATAATCATACCACAATGTATTTATAAAAATTAAGTCATATTCATATTTCAAGTTAATGAATTACCTTGTAGAAACTGATTTCTCCTTTATGAATACTAACTATATTTAAATAATAATTGTCATACCAAATATGCATAAGGATTCCTATCATTGTAAGGTCCATGCTTATGATTATGAAGTATAATACAGTTGCAGTGGATAATTGTGACAGCTCCGTGTTCTTACCTCAATGGATAGTTCTAATGTCTGAAAATTTACATCTTACTCCCTTTTAGGATGGCTTTGCCCGATTAAAACTGGATGAAGATAAATTGCCAATAATAGGTAAAATACATTTAACTTCAAAAGACTAAATGCTTTTGTTATAACATTAGAAAGTAGCAAGCTCTTGTGTATCACAAATTACCAACTACCTTTTTTGCTGCAGGAATAGAGATTTGGGGACAAGCATGGATTGTTTCTGCAGGGAAACTTAGGAATTGAAAAAGTTGTGGCAATTTAAATGTTGAAATGAAAAAATACAGAAAAAGTTGCCTATTACAATGATTTATGCAACTTCTGTTCATAGAATTAAAAGGTTATTTCTCTTCATTTTATGTTGTATTTTTTGGCTAATGAATATATGAATAGTTATGTTCTGCTGAGAGTGTATGTTTTGTACGTGAGAAATCTCATCTCTTAACTAGTTGAGCTGAGAAGTGCTTTAAACTTTGAAGTTTTGCTTCAACTTTCATGCAGTTGAAATGAAATGAAATCCTTCATGTTTTCCTGAAGGATTAAACAGGAAGTGTAGGATACCAGTGATTGCGTGAGAAAAATTTAGTGGATAATGTTTTACAGATTCATTTTTGAGAGTTATGTTCCTGAAGGAAAATGATTTTAAGAACATTGCAATTGTAAAAATAATGAAACTATTTTGAACAGAGCCTGTGAAAGATGATGAGGGAAAAGAGGATGATCGTAGTAATCTAGCACGGAACCAGGCTGTCATCTCTCTGAGCCATCAAGAATGGAAGGTATAGTCAACAGCACTCACTGCCTTTGTTCCTTTCCTTTAAAGTGTAARGAATCTTATGGAAGCTGTGCTGTTAGTTAGAGCAGAGTAGGGCTTGCTCTGTATGTTAAAGCCACTGCACTTAATTTTATGGATTTCAGAGCAATCATGAGCCTAATGTTTTAGCTGCAAGAAACTGAAGGAGAAGGGGGATGGAAACTTGAGCTTTGTTCYTTGAAGCCTTTTTGATTCAAGTGCTTCTGACTTAAAGCTGTGCGATAATTGGCCCTTACTGTTTTATATGGGAACCAAGCAAATATGGAGTCTTCTTTTTTTTTCCCTTTTTTTTTTTTTCTTGTATGACATCTGCTTTCAGGTGGGATATTCTGAAGTCCATGCAGAAGGTGATACACAAGAGCAGTGGTTTTGCATGTACTGATGAGGATAGTTATTAGCTGGAGCTTTCATGAACTGCTCTGCTTTATTCTCTCTTTTCAGAACTGCTCTTTCTAAAAYGTTGTCAAATACATATTTCCACGTAGCCCTCGGCAGCAGATTAACTTTGGACCTGGGTTACAACTCAAGCTGTGAATAATGCTCCATAAATATCCTTGCTGTGGGCTTTTTTTTTTTTTTTTGAATAAGTTTCCATCAAAAAGTGTTTCATAGTGCAAGCAACTTGTCTTCCTTGTCCCTCACTCAAAATGTGTAGAATAGACTTAGTCATTTGCAGTAGTACCTTAGAAAGAGAAACTTCTTGGTTTTCCTTGCTGTAACTGTAATTCTATTGAAATAGTTTAGGTGATGTAAATTAAGATGCTTTTAAAATGTTATTTTCTCTGCACAGGAAATTGTGGAAACATTTGAAATAACAGAACCCATGATCAGTCCTCCTTGTGACAACAATGAAGATGAAATGGAGGTACCTTAATTCTTCAAGCAAGTTCTTTTCGTAAATTGGACTGAATAAATAAGGACACRGTGTGCAAGTTGGTTATGGACATAAAAAACCTGCCGAGGAGTTGCCTGTGATGGCACATGTAGAAACACTTAAAGGAGGATAATTGTGTAACATCTGAGAATTTCCATATTACTGATCTCTTTAAGGATCTCAAAACTGTCCTTGTTTAATCTTCTTTGCAGTACTGAATTGAAGAGACTTTACTTTTATATTTGCTGGCCAGTTAAGTGGAAGGCTTTGGTTCATATTTGAGACTTTATACTTCTACTTGAAATGCAGTGCTATGAAGAGTCATAGCTTAATTTTTGTACTTTAAAAAAAAAAAAACTTACAGCTGACGTTCTTGTTAATAGACTGGTCTGAAGATGGGCTTAGGGGATAGAAAGGGAAGACAGGTTCCTCCCAGAATCTTTTAAATAATAGAATTGAGTTATTTTATTATCATAGATGTTTGGTAAGTTCATATTGTTTTAATTGCATATTGTTTTAATGTCTTCTCTTTTTTTTTCCCCTTAGGTGCCTTAAAGAAAATATTTTAAAATGTTTCATTCAAATAAGGTTTTATGTGTATATATTGTACAATTAAATTTATTTTTATTAGAACCATCTGGCACTTTAGCCGTCTTGTCTATATGCCACAGAGGTAGAAATTATTATATACTTTCATTTTATTATGGCTTTGTTTACTRCCTTATTGAAAAAATACTGATGGTTTTACAAGCTTGCAAAAGAAAGGAAAACTGTTTTCATCCCTGTCTTTCCCTAGCCGCTGCCTGGAAAAGGAGTTGATGTCATTAACCATCTCTGCTCATTACTGWCTTGTTTATTGTTATCTTAATCATCTTGGACAGCAAAGGAAAAATRTAACATTGTCCTTCTGTTCTTACTCTTCCTGAAATCACGGTTTGACATTGTGGAGTTTGATCTTAGCAATTCTTTTTTTCCCRCCCCTGTCTGCAGATCTAAGTTTATCCTGTGCCTCTTGCTTAGTAGCTAGGAGAGCTATATTAGGACAGGGCATTATTTTTCTCAACAGAAGTAAAACTTAAGTCCATCCTCAGAAAATCTTCTGAAGAACAGTTTCTAATGCTTTATGATTATTTTCACCCTCTTCCTTTTGCTTTTGACAAGTGTCTCTGCTAACAGCTGTCTGTTAACTGTTAAACRATCTTTTTTTTTTTTTTTGCATTTCAGAAAAAAATAGTATTGTGATTGAACGTGCTCTTCATCAACAGGACTCTGACGGATGCAGTAGGGTATCATCTGCTGCCCTGTTACTATCAGAATGTCTCCAGGTGATGATGATGTGATCAGGTTGTGAGGATATTTGAAAGCAGACATAGCTGSCCCAGCTTTGCTCATCTGCAGTCGAGCTGAGAAGGATATTTCTTCAGACTTTCCTGCTTGCTCCTAGTTTATTCTGAAGTTGATGGGGTACCTGGGGCTGAAGAGCTGGATGAAGAAGCACCGAGTTGCTCTGCGAAATGTAGCTCTGTACCTGAAGCTGTTCAAACCAGCCTGATCTCGGGGTGCTTGTGGTGCCTGCAGGGCTGCTGGTGTCTTGCCTGGTTGTTTCATGCCAGTCGCTTGGTCTTGGCAAATCTCTGCTGTCCATTACGGCAGTGCAGGCAGCAGGAGCAGGGAAGGGACAGTCCCCCTGCGCTCAGTGCTGGCCGCTGCACCGAACATGCCGTGTTCAGGGACACGGAGGTGCTGGAGCGTGTCCAGAGACGGGCCGCGGGGCTGGGAAGGGGCTGCAGCTCACAGGGAGCTGCCGGGCAGCCAGGGTGGGGGGTTCAAGGAGGCTCCCCCGGACCTCCCCGCCCTGCTGCTACCCCGGAGGAGGCTGCAGGGAGAGGGGTCGGTCTGTCCTGYGGAATAACTGCCCCCGGACCAGAGCAAGCGGCCTCAGGGTTCACCAGGGCAGGCTGGATATTAGGGAAAAATCTACATGGAAAGAGAGGAGAAGCAGCCTTGGAACGGGCTCTCGAGGGACCCGCTGGAGTCACCGTCCCTGGCAGAGCTCAAGCGCCCCGCTTGCTAATGGCACGCTTAGGGCGATGGTTTGGCAGGCAGGCGCTGGGTGGGCGGCTGGGCGCGCTGACCTTGCAGGTCTCCTCCGCCCGCCCTCAATCCCCGCCTCAGGCTCCGCCGCGCGGCCGGCGGGGGCGCTGCGGGCCGGG